CAAACGGAGATCGCGCGAAACACCAACCTCTTATCAACAAAAATCCTCATATTAAATCTCATTCGTTAATGTTTGCTTACGTTTCTCTTTCTCTTTCTCTTCTCTTCTCCTCTCTTCAGACAATACTCACCTTTGCACCGCCATGAACGCCATAGCCACTGCTTCAGCTCTTACTCTACCAATCTTTTGTAGAGCAACCAAGCTTGACACCAAAAGGGTAACCTTTTTTTTTTTTTTTTTTTCTCTTTTCTCATTGTTCTGTTAGTGAGTTTTGTGCCTTTGTTGTGTACTTATTTTTTAAGGTGAAACTGAATTCTAATGACATTAAGTTACTTGGTAATTGTGTTGAGGGTGTATGTGCTTTCATTTGTTTTACAGGTTAAGTTCTAGACATAGAGGAAAATTTGTTGATCCTAATATACTTTACAAAAATTTTGATTTTTTCTTTCTTTCTTCTATGTTCTTTTTTGGGCATGCAATTGAGTTCAAGATGAAAATTTGGCATGGTGGATTTATTTAGCTTTTAGCTCAGCTGTGGTTTGCATCATAATGCATGGTATTAATTTACATTTATGCGCAGTTAATGTAGCAAGTTTCTCCTTCATAGGGGTCTACATTTAACTTAACATTTTTTTGGTCATGTCAAATTTCAGGATTTGAAAGGTAGATTTGGAGTGTTTGCTGTATTTGGAGAAGTAGAGAAGAAAAATGCATGGGGTGCGCTCTTTGATGTAGAGGATCCAAGATCTAAAGTCCCACAGTATAAAGGGAAGTTTTTGGATGTATATCAAGCCGTAGAAGTGGCTAGGTATGATATTCAGTACTGTGATTGGCGAGCTCGGCAAGATGTGCTTACCATCATGCTCCTCCATGAAAAGGTTTCCACTTATTTCAGTTATTTTTATATATTTTGGAATCAAATTTGATGCTTGAATGGATTATGGTGATTGTTGATGGTCTGTCTTTATGAATTTTGGACATTTATAAACTTGGCCATTGGATCAGATTAGAATGTCATTACACTATAGGTTTTGTTTGTTTATTCCCTTTTTCACTTAATGAGCTATGTGCATCCCACCATGTGTTGATTTATACCTCCATAAAACATGGGTGTAGGTGGTTGAAGTTCTTAATCCTCTAGCTCGTGAATTTAAGTCAATTGGCACCATGAAAAAGGAGCTAGCTGAGTTGCAGGGAGAATTAACAGAAGCACACAGACAGGTATAGAATATTAGCAGCAGCAGACTAGTTAAAACAACTTGGAACTGAGATGTCTTTGGTTCGTCTAACTTGGCAGAAAATTTTCCATTAGTCATTAATCAGTCACTGTATTTTTGTAATGTGATGAATAACAACAGGTCCATATATCTGAAGCAAGGGTTTCCACTGCTTTAGATAAACTAGCTTACATGGAAGAATTGGTAAATGATAGGCTGTTGCAAGACAGAAGCACAGCTGAAGTTGCTCAGACATCCTTGTCTCCTAGTACTTCTGCTAATTCTGTAAATACTGAAAAGAGAAAGCGGCCACGAAAAACCTTGAATGTATCAGGTCCAGTTCAGTCATACCATCCGCACTTGAAGAATTTTTGGTATCCTGTTGCTTTCTCTAATGACCTAAACGATGATACCATGGTAAGTCAAAATCTGTTTTTTTATTTTATTTTTAATATCATATGAAACCGAAACCATTGAAACCACTCCCCGTTAAACTTGACTAGCGAGTGTGGGGTGAAGAAAATCCTTGTACGCAGTCTTACCCTTGCATTGCAAAGAGGCTGTTTCCTGAATTCGAATCCATGACCTTTCAGTCATTAAGGAACAGTTTTACCACTACTCCGGTTCGCCCCCTTTATTTTTTATATCATATACTTAGAATATTTGTGTCATCTATTTCAGTTAATACAAATCAACTGGAAACCATTATGATATGATATTAGAACATTGTCTTTCATCAATTAACAGAGTAAAATAGATGAGCATTTGAAAATATATTTTGATTGATATTGCTTCTTTTATGCCCAGGTGGCATTTGTGTGAGGGTACTAAAATGCCATTTTGTAGTACATTTGACTTGTTGCAAATGAAAATGTTTTCACTTTTTATTTTTTAGTTTCTCTATTTTTCCTTTTCTTTTTCCTCCTTTATTATTTTCTTTGGGGTTAGTGGGTGCCATGTCTGATAAGGAGCAGTCCTCTAGAAAGTTATGGTTTTACAGAAGTTACTCTACTTTGAATGTGAATTCTCATAAGTGTGTTACTCATTTTCTATTTCAGATCCCAATAGAATGTTTTGAGGAACCGTGGGTTATCTTTAGAGGGGAAGATGGGAAACCTGGATGTGTCCAGAATACCTGTGCACACAGAGCATGTCCTCTGCACCTTGGTTCTGTAAATGAGGGTCGTATCCAATGCCCCTACCATGGTTAGTACTCACTGGAACAAATGATGAAACTCGATGCTGTTTCCTCGGGACAATTATGCTTCAGTAACATTATTATATCCTAGAAATGAGTTATATGCACTTGTACATAATGTATGTGTAACATCACATGACACAACCCCCAGGTTTATGTACAATGAAACTGACAGAATCTAAAATTACTTAATGGTTGGATATCAGGTTGGGAATATACCACTGATGGAAAATGCGAGAAAATGCCATCTACTCGATTGCTAAATGTGAAGATAAAGTCAGTTCCATGTTTTGAGAAAGAGGGTATGATCTGGATTTGGCCTGGCAATGAGCCCCCAAAAGCCACACTTCCATCTTTACTACCTCCTTCTGGATTCGAAATCCATGCTGAGGTATGTTACGAATGTAATCTGTCCCAATAGGTATTGTGTGCGATGCAAGAAGAAAGAATAACAATTTTATGATTGATACTTACTTGTTGTCTCTTCACATGTGACAGATTGTCATGGAACTTCCAATTGAACATGGGTTACTTTTGGACAACCTTTTGGATCTTGCACATGCCCCTTTTACTCACACTTCAACTTTCGCTAAGGGATGGAGTGTTCCCAGGTTGGTTTGGTTTATACCATTAAAACTGAAAGCAATAGTGGTTCAAAAGAAGTAAACATTGCATAATTCCGGTGATGAGGGGAACAAAATGTCTTTTGGGAATGTTTGGGTTCAGCTCATTTGAAATTGATCCAAAACTTATTCCCTCTACCTCCAATTTCACTTGAATTTTTTGGCTTCTAGAAAACACTCCTCAATCAAGGGAAAGACAAAAAGGAATATGAGTAATGAAGAATTTGAATTTTGTCATGCAGAGGACTCAATGGGTTAATAATATAGTCAATCTGTTATAACAGTGCACTCTTAGAAGGTTTTTTTTTTTTTTAAACAATTTTATGGTAAATGCATTGGAGTGATAATTTTTCGAGGTTCATTGTCCCAATATCATAATATAAGTGTCATGCTTTCATATTCAAATTGTGCATGAAAGGAATATTTCAGTTTTTTTGTTTAGAAGTCTATGCTCTATTTTATGAAATAATAAATTTCTAGGCCGCTTATTCTCTTTGCATGAATTTGAACATGCAGCTTGGTGAAATTTTTGACACCTTCATCTGGTCTGCAAGGATACTGGGATCCCTATCCAATTGATATGGAGTTTCGACCCCCTTGCATGGTTCTATCAACCATTGGAATTTCAAAACCTGGGAAATTGGAGGGACAAAGCACCAATCAGTGTGCAACGCACCTGCACCAACTTCATGTCTGCTTACCATCTTCAAAACAAAAAACAAGATTGCTATACAGAATGTCACTGGATTTTGCTCCTTTGCTTAAGCATATACCTTTTATGCAATATCTATGGAAGCATTTTGCAGAACAGGTAAGAGTGTTTTTCAAATTGTGAATGCATAATTAATTGTGTGAGAGGGAGGAAACAAAAGGAAAGAGAAGTCAATGCCTCAAAAGGATAAACCTGGTTTCATTGTAGATATAGTTATAAATTTGGGGTATTTAAGCCTGAAGAGGATGACAAAAACACTGGTATTAAGTCTTTAAAAATCTGACACATAATTCTCTGCCTATAGATCAATATGATTTGAGTTTTTTAAATTTGATTATTGATTAAATTGCTATTATATTCCATTGAAATAAATGGGTTCCTACCCCCCATTGTTTTGGATTAACACCTTACTTATATTTTGTGTTTGCATGTCAATGACTCTTATAGATGAATTTTCCCAACTTCTGATCCAATGTTATCTTTAACTTGTGCTCATTGATGTGTTGGTCTTCACTTACTAAAGGTTTTAAACGAGGATCTACGGCTAGTGCTTGGGCAGCAAGAGCGGATGAACAGAGGTGAAAATGTGTGGAATTTCCCAGTATCCTATGACAAGCTTGGAGTGAGGTACAGGCTGTGGAGAGATGCATTGGAGGGAGGAGCTAAGCAACTACCCTTTCAGCAAATAGAATTGAATACAGATTGAACACTGCTTTTTATCCCACTCAGTAATGCTTCTTAGATCCAATAAGAGCATTTTTTTCTTAACTCAGAACTCTTGGACCACCTTGCATTACAAGGACCGGTTACCAGATTAGCTGCTACGAGGCCATCCGGGAACTCTTATATAGTGAAACAGAGATTGCCCCTTTGTAAAATGATAGGATTCTACCCTTTTTTGTCTTTAACTTTCTGTGTACAGTATCAAAGTCATTTTTCCCGTGTGATAAATTCACCATTTCAGCTGGTGCCTTAACCTCACCCTTGATTAAAGGGGTTTCTTTATTGACACAATCCAATGTTACTTCAGAATTCCTGACTAGTTTGGGTTACAATTTTATTTTATTTTTCTGAATTATGTTAATACTGAATGAGCCATCATGAAACTTAGAAGTTACAATCATAGTGGCTTCTCATAGCTAGATATTACCAAATTGGTCCACAGTACAAAACAATTTTCCACCTCTGAGAATTCAACGTAACATTTGGCATATATAACACCCCTTAACCCCTAATTTTAAGACGCAAATTCTAGAATAGAATCATAAGTAAAGACACAAAATTCACATGAACAAATGCATAATTCATTCAAATATAAGTTCCCAAATATTTTCCATTTCAACAAGAAAAATTGAGGTACAAAACCCCCCAAAATAATCACAACGATTGCATTTTTTATTTTTATTTTATCTTAAAACCCCTCTGATACGAACATGTACATCTATTTTTAACAAACACCAATCAAAACCTTTATCAGAAAACGAAGAAGAGCTTGAGAACCTTATCGTACTCCACCATATCTATGCGCGAACCAAAATTGATGCACCTCAAAACCTTTATCAGAGAAAGAAGAAGAGCTTGAGAACCTCATCGTACTCCACCATATCTGTGAGCGAACCACAATTGATGCACCTGGCCACACCTGATTTCACCACCTGCCACACCTGTTGCTCTGACCCTCCCACAAAGAAGAACATGGCTCGTGTTTTTGTTAGAAATCATGCTTTAGAAACTGCAATATTTTTAATTATTTAGGAGTCAGTTTTTATTTCTGTTTTAATGAGTTGTTAAGTAGTGAGCAGTTACTTTTCTGCTTTAATGGGTAGTTATGAGGTGAGCAATTTTCTTTTTTATTGATGGGAAGTTATGTAGTCGTGAGCAGTTTCTTTTTATTATTTTTCTTTATAAGTTGTATTGTTATGCATCAATAAACTTGTACTTCATTTCTCAATTATATTTTTCATCTCCAAAACCAACAATTGGTATCAGAGCCCTTTTCTTACGGGACCTGTAGAATGGATTCTGAATCAAGTTTTTCCTAAGCAGCTCTTCCAGTTTTCAATGGGGAAAACTATGATCTTTGGGCCGTCAAAATGGAGGCTTACCTAGAGGCTTTGGATCTTTGGGAAGCTGTAGAAGAGGATTATGAAGTCCTTCCTCTGCCGGACAATCCCACCATGGCCCAGATCAAGAATCATAAGGAGAAAAAAAACCGAAAAGCAAAGGCAAAATCATGCCTTTTTGCTGGTATCTCCACAACCGTCTTTACTAGGGTCATGACTCTCAAATCGGCAAAAACAATTTGGGACTATCTAAAGGCAGAATATGCTGGAGATGAAAGAATTCGAAGCATGCAGGTGCTTAACTTAATGAGGGAATTTGAGATTCAAAGGATGAAAGAGTCTGAAACAATCAAGGAATACTCAGACACATTGTTGGGCATTGCCAACAAGATAAAGTTACTGGGCGGTAATTTTGCAGATTCCAGAATTGTTGAGAAAATTCTGGTAACAGTGCCAGAGAGGTACGAAGCATCTATTGCTTCGTTGGAGAACACAAAAGATCTGTCTAAAATTACTTTTGCAGAAGTGCTACATGCTCTCCAAGCCCAAGAGCAACGAAGATTGATGAGGGAAGATCATGCTGTTGAAGGTGCTCTTCTAGCCAAGAGCCAACAAACTAATTACAACAAAGGAAAGGGTGAAAAGAAAAGTTACCCACCTTGTCAGCATTGTGGCAAAATGGGTCACCCTCCATTCAGATGTTGGCAAAGACCTGATGCTAAATGCATCAAGTGCAATCAAATAGGGCATGAAGCAGTCATATGCAAGAGCAAAAATCAACAGCAAGAGGAAGAAGCTAAGGTTGCTGATCAAGAGGAGGAGGAGGAGGAGGATCAACTCTTTGTGGCAACGTGTTTTGCAAGCAGCGGAGAGAGTGAGAGTTGGCTGATTGACAGTGGCTGCACAAATCATATGACCAATGACAGGGAGCTTTTCAAAAATTTAAAGCCAACCAATATCACCAAAGTCAGAATAGGCAATGGTGATTATATTTCAGTCAAAGGAAAGGGGACTGTTGCAATACAAGTTGCTCAGGTACAAAGTTTATTCCTGATGTCCTTTTTGTACCCGAAATTCAACAAAATCAATTGAGTGTTGGCCAATTGATTGAAAAAGGATTCAAAGTGCTTTTCGAAAATAGAGTTTGTCTCATTCACGATGAGAATGGAAAGGAAATCATCAAAGCAAAAATGAGAGGCAAGAGTTTCTCATTTGAACCAATCAAGGAGGAGCAAGCTGCACCAATCAAGGAGGAGCAAGCTGTTGTTTCCACAGAGGAGAATGTGACTGAGACTTGGCACAAGAGACTAGACCATTGTCACCTCTCAAATGTGTTGTTGATGAAGAAGGAGCTGTCAAATGATTTACCAACCTTTGCAAATTGTAATGCCTTTCAATTTGGCAAACGAAACAGAAATTCATTTCCTAAGTCAAGTTGGAGAGCCTCCAATAAGCTGCAGTTGATCCACTCAGATGTTTATTTTCATCAGTTGATCCACTCAGATGTTTATTTTCATGAAGATAAGAAGTGGAACTGGAAACAAGCACAAGAGGCATCCATGAGTAAGCAGAAATCAAGTCCTCTCATCCAAATAAGCAAAGAGCAAGGAGTGGAACATTGGCAAGAAGAGTTAGAAGATGACCCACCAGACCCACCAATTCGTGGAACAAGGTTGCTGTCCAATATTTATCAAAAATGAAATGTAGCCATTTGTGCACCTGCAAGCAAATTTGAAAATCTAAGGAAGAAGATTGGTGTTTGCAGCTCCAAAAGCAAGGAGGAGTGTTAGAAATCATGCTTTAGAAACTGCAATATTTTTAATTATTTAGGAGTTGTTTTAATGAGTTGTTAAGTAGTGAGCAATTACTTTTCTGCTTTAATGGGTAGTTATGAGGTGAGCAGTTTTCTTTTCTATTGATGGGAAGTTATGTAGTCGTGAGCAGTTTCTTTTTATTATTTTTCTTTATAAGTTGTATTGTTATGCATCAATAAACTTGTACTTCATTTCTCAATTATATTTTTCATCTCCAAAACCAACAGTTTTCACCCTTTCTTTCACCGCTATTCTATTCTTCTTTTTCTCTATATTGAGGTTGTTTTAAGCGTGATATTGTAAGCTCTTTATCTGGCATTTTATTTTTGACAACTCATAAGTGAAAGGTATCAGAAGACTCGAAATCTTGTATTATTGAAAATGATTTTTTTTTTGGAAACCGATCTTCACGAATCAGAACCTTCCGGTATTCTCACGGGTTCGATTCTTTGAGCCGTCTATGGGACTAATCTAGAGTTCGGGTGCGAGTCCAATGATTACAATACTTATGCCCCTCCTCAGATAGTGTTGGTGGAATTTGAACTGAGGTCTTCTCCCACCACTCAGTCCCTATGCTATCAACTGAGCCACCACAGTTGGGTATTGAAAATGAATCTTGATTACAGTGTATATACATGTATTTACAGTGATACAGCTATACTGCACGTGGATATTGAATTAGTTACAGTTTGTAATAGAAACTAACAGATACTCTAACTATATAACAGATACACACTAACCATATATATATATATACTATCAAGAAGCATTATCTTGTAAATCGGTGGACAAAGATTTTGTGGGGATATAATGTAATTTTTGCTATCCCTAAATATCATCTAAATTACTAACTGTATTTAACCACATGCCGCATTTATTGCTCTTAACTCTACTCAAAGATATAGGCTATAATTTCTTGGATTTGGTGTATAAATTATTTAAGATTTGTTTCTTGAAAACACAAGATCGTCGATAAATCATTTAAACAACGGAACATATTTATCTGAAGATAAAATAAATTTTAAGAGATCATTTATAATAAAAATTTAAAAGATTATCTTTAAAACATATTTATACAAATTGCCAATAATTAGTTACTTCTTCTTCCTTTTTGGCTTATCGATCTTACTGAGAGTAGAATTATCTTATTTTTAAATCTCCCTAGACCGATCTGAATCTTGAAGATTTTGCTATATAAAAACAGCACAGTACTAAGCAAACGTTCCCAATTTATTTCTTGTTCAGTGAGTAAAAGCACTTAGTTTTTACATCTTCGATTCATGGAGTCCTCTAATCACTTCCATATTGTTGAATCCTTTCAACAATTTATTCCAGAAAACTGTCCTTTTCTATATTAATTTTCAATGCGGAAACACAGCTTCTCTCTCATCAAACCATGAAATACCCACCACAACCTCATTTCACGAGTCCTACTTGATTCCATGGGATATCCTATATGATTGCGATGTATTCGAAATCATGTATCCTCAAAGTCCTACTATGGCATATTTGCATGACGCTTTTTCCTCTGTTCCTCTATCTTTCGAGTCCCTGGACTCAATTCTACCTGTTGTAGGTCGACACGCAAGAGATATGATCAGCGACAACATTGAAGGACTTGACATATTGCATATGGATGTGATAGTTTGCACTGCCAATGGCCTTAGTGAGGAATATCACGAACATACTATTGATCACGAGAGCGTGTTTATATCAACCCTTGTGAATTCCTTGGAAAAAGTCACATTCAATCAAGATGCTTCTTCTAATTTGGATGATACATGTTCTATTTGTTTGGAGAAGCTGGGCGATGGATCAAATTCAAATCTTGTCTGCACTAAATGCTCGCATGTTTTTCATGAAGATTGTATTACCGAATGGCTTCAGCATTGTATCGCTCATCAATCCTATTCTTGTCCTTTGTGTCGTTGTCAAGTTACATATGTTGATTAAGTTTTCAAATTGTATAACAACTTTATTGTAATCAAATTTAATTGGATCGTGGGTTTTGTTCCTCCTGTTGAAGGTTTTCCTGTGTCTCTTCTTCTCTTTATTCTTTATTTTAGGGTTTAGGTTTTTAAATTGCAAAATTTTCCATAAACTAAATTCAACCCCTCTTGAATTCATCATGACCAACAAAAAGAACTATTCTTCTTTCCATGATCTGTTTCTTAAATGCAATGAATGTGATGTAACTATGTAAGTGTATTACACTGTCAGGCGGGCCACAAATTCAGTGTACTGCAAAGCGTAAAAAAAATTGGACCCTTCTTTATGATAAGAAAATTACGAAAAGCTTGTTATTCACCAAATAACAGATGAATTGTACAGAATATGTTTCTATTTAGGGAAATACTCATGATTTTACTTGTTCTGTTTTTGTTTTGTATTTTTGTTTGTTTTAATGTATATGATGAACTATAAAATGTCATTACGGAGTCTGTCAATAAGATTATGAATGTGGATGATGATGTTGTTTTCGTAACTGCTCGCGTGATGTCTGAAAGTAATTAGACAACTAGGAAAGAAAGCTCGAATATGTAGAAATTCTTCACAAAAACTGGTGTAGACAAGTAGGGGTGTAAATGGGTCAGGCCAGCCTACAGTCCGGCCTACGTTGAGCCTGACTTAGCCCAAAGTAAAGTAGACTTAGACTTATCCCTTTTAACAAGTAGGCATAGGCTAATTTTGTCAAACCTGGCCTAAAGCCTTGTAGGTTGGCCTATTTAATCTTTTAAAATAAAATAAAATAAAATAAAATATTTATTTTAGGGTATATGATATACATTATAGAGCTGTGATATTATGTTGACTCTTTCTTGTTTGTCATTTTTTATGAAATACGAGAAGTACTAGTGCATGCATGAATGGAACTTTGCTCGGTATATTTTTATAGTTATTTTTTTACTATTGTAAAAATTTTAATACTCACTAGTGAAAATTATATCTCGTGTAAAAAAATGCAGCAATTTATGAACACGTTAAAGACTTATAATGTCAAGCGATTTAAAAATTGTTAAAAATATTTTAAATTTTTTTTAAAAATATTTCACTAGGGAGGCCTACAAGGCCTTTAGGCCATATAAGGCTCTCTAATTTTTAAAAATAGGCCAGACTTGGCCTATAAATAAAGCTTTTAGTAGGTCAATAGGCCAGATAGGCTAAATATTTTTTTACGTAGGCTTAGGTCAGGAAGGCCAAAGTCCAGCCCAGCCTGACCAATTTATACCCCTATAGACAAGGATGATGTAGAAAAGGTTGCGTACAATCACCGTAGTCGTGAGTTTGCACCTAGCTTAGGAAAATATTTTTTATGGTCCAGGATCACCAAATGATCTGGTGCTCCCTCTCACATCATCAATTTCTTCTTTCCCTTTTTACCCTTATGATTTTTTTTTCCTATTTTATCCCTCCATTTACACTAAGAGACCACCAAAGAAATGGTAGTCTCAGTCCACTATAAATTATCTCCTAGCTTAGAAAGCGCCACATGATAATTAGTTGCTGATTTGGAAGTCGTTGCTTGCTAACAATGGGCTTATTAAAAGGGTTCGATTTTTTCTACAACGGTAACAAAAAGTAGACATCGAAAAGACAAAAAAATGGATTCAATGGTTTTTTATTTATTTATTAAAAAGTGATAATTGTGTGAGAGTTTTGATAAAATTTAATATAGATAAAATAATTATGACCTGAGATTAGAGGTGGCAAAGTGGGTGGCCCGTCCCGCCCCACCCCACCATCAACCCGCAAAAAAATGAGTCAGTTCGCCTCGTTTGACAGGTTGGCCTGCCAACCCGAGTCTATTTTACACTGACCCACCTCGCTTATGTCCGCCATCAACCGGCCAAAAAATGAGTCCGTCCCGCTTTTGAGATGAGTTGAAAATCTCAGCCCGCCCCGCCCCATTTGGCGGGTTGGCCTGCTGAGCCGAGCCCGTTTTACCGGCTCTAAGATTGAAAACTTTTGAGTTTTCACAAGCATTATTTCGTAAATTGAAATTTTCGTTCAAGCAATAAGCAACATTGTGTTAGAGTTTTTTTTTTTTTCTCCAAATTTTATTAAAAGGTAATAAATTTTAGGCCACTTAGTTTCTTTGCATGAATTTGAACATGCAGCTTGGTGAAATTTTTGACACCTGCATCTGGTCTGCAAGGATACTGGGATCCCTATCCAATTGATATGGAGTTTCGACCCCCTTGCATGGTCCTATCAACCATTGGAATTTCAAAGCCTGGGAAACTGGAGGGACGAAGCACCAATCAGTGTGCCACGCACCTGCACCAACTTCATGTCTGCTTACCATCCTCAAAACAAAAAACAAGATTGCTATACAGAATGTCAATGGATTTTGCTCCTTTGCTTAAGCATATACCTTTAACGCAATATCTATGGAAGCATTTTGCAGAACAGGTAAGAGTGTTTTTCAAATCGTGAATGCATAATTAATTGTGTGAAAAAGGATAAACCAAGTTTCATTGTAGATATCCTTATAAATTTGGTGTATTTAAGCCCAAAGAGGATGCGAAAAACACTCCTAATAAGTCTTTACAAATCTAAGACACAATTCTCTGCCTATATAGATCAATATGATTTGAGCTAACACACAATTCCATTGAAATAAATGGGTTCCAACCCCTTTTTTTGTTGGGCTCATCCTTCAATGCTAAGCCCAAGCCCATTTGAGGGGTTTCCTAAAAATCCTAACGCTAATTTCCACCTCCTCTATATATACTCATTAGTTATGGGTGGAGGCTAGGTCAGTTTTGAGAGAACATATTTTAGAGAAAAATTATTTGATTGTTTGAGTAAAGCTTTATGCTTTGCATTTGAGAAATCTCTAGAGAGAGTTTGTGTGAAACATCTCTAGGGTAGTTTGATTATCTCCATTATTGGAGAGGTTGAGTTAACCACCACATTGGTGTATTTGATTCGTTGTAACCATTATTTTCACAGTGGATTTTTGATTTGGACTAGGTCCCATGGGTTTTTTACTTCTTCATTGGAGAAGGTTTTCCCACGTTAAAACTGATTGTGTTCTTCTTCTCTCTCTCTCCTGTTTTGATTTTTCGTTTTTGATTGTTCCGCTGCGCTGCCCGACCTAGTGAAATTCAGGCCGAGGTATTGCCGAGATCTGAGATCGAGGATCTCATTGACTGACTTCCGCAAAGGCCCCTAAGCCGAGCTTGAGGGAACCGAGTTCCCAACAGTGGTATCAGAGCCCGAGTTCGACGGGTTCTGAGGGAGACGAGATGGAGACCAGTGACATAACTCATGATGGAGATATGTTCAAGTTAACCGCAGACAACTTCACTTATTGGAGACCGATGATGGAAGATCATCTCTACTGCAAAGATTTACATGAGCCCATTATCCTTGATGAGAGACCAACAGGCAAAACAAGGAGTGGGAGATCCTTAGTCGGAAGGCAGTAGCCACAATCAAGAAATATATTGATAAAAGCCTCTTTGAGCACGTGTCCGAATTCACGAACGCGTATGAGTTGTGGACGAAGCTGGAGTCCATGATACAGAAGAAGACTCCCAGGAACAAAGCACACCTAGTCCGCCGACTTGTTAAGCTTGAATACAAGGACGACATGAGCATGATTGAACACCTGAACACCTACAAAGGTATTATGAATCAGCTGTCAAAGGCTGATATGAAAATTGATGAAGAATTGCAGGCATTGCTGCTGTTGAGCTCGCTGCCAGAAAGCTGGGATACTCTGATGGTGACCCTGAATAACTTGACTCCAGATGGAAAATTGAAGATGGATGTCGTGACAGACAGCCTCCTGGGCGAAGAATCCAGGAGAAAAGAACGAGGTACTTCGAGTACGTCTGAGGCCAATATTGCTGAGAACAAAGGGAAGGTCGACTCCCGCGGTAGAAGCAAAAGCTGAGGTAGAGATCGTGACAGACGAGACAAGTCCAGAGGTCGGTCAAAGCCGAAATATGAGTTGAAGTGCTTTTACTATGGAAAGACAGGCCATAAGAAGCCAGACTGCTGGACCCTACAAAATGATGAGAAGAACGGCTCTGTGAAGCCGGATCAGATTATTCCCAAGAAGAGGGAAGACAAGAGCACCACTGCGGTGGCTGCAAACCCTGATGCCGATATATTCCTCCTAAGTGAGGATAATTATTTGAATGTTGCATATGATGACTGCACCTGGATTTTTGACTCTGGTGCCTCCTTCCACGTTACTCCACAAAGGTTTTTTCTCCTCTTATCGAGGTGGTGATTTTGGAGTCGTGAAGATGGGAAATCAAGTGACCAGCAAGATTGTTGGTGTCGGTGATGTAACTCTGACCACGGATGTCGGGTGCCGACTTGTGTTGAAAGATGTGAGGCATGTTCCTGACATGCGTTTGAACCTAATCTCGGTAGGCAAACTTAATGATGTCGGGTTAGTGAACTACTTCAGTAGTGTGAGATGGAAGCTGGCCAAGGGAAACTTGGTCGTGGCCCGAGGTAAGAAAGAAGGCTCCTTGTACGTGATGCAAGGAAATATCAATGGTGGAGAAGCCAATTCTGTTCGAGATGAACCTAGCTTGGAGCTATGGCACAAGCGCCTCGGCCACATGAGTAAGAAAGGGCTACAGATCCTGAACAAGAAAGGATTACTGACCGGGTTGAAAGACCAAGCGTTGGAGAGTTGCACGCATTGCCTAGCTGGAAAGCAGCACCGGATTTCTTTTGTGAGACCGGATCAACCTAGACGACGCAGGTATATTCTTGACCTCATCCATACTGATGTCTGCTCCATGTCGGAAAGATCCCTTGGAGGAGCTCAGTACTTTGTTTCATTCATTGATGACCATTCCCGCAAAGTGTGGGAGTATTTGTTGAAGTCTAAAGACCAGTACTTCAATCATTTAAAGAATTCCATGCTATGGTTGAAAGGGAGACTGGCAAGAAATTGAAGGTGGTCCGATCTGATAATGGTGGTGAGTATTGCGGCCCATTTGATGCATACTGCAGAGCGGCCGGGATGCGACTTGAGAAGACGCCCCCCAAGACTCCACAGTTGAATGGACTGGCTGAGAGGATGAACCGAACTATTGAAGAGAAGGTCTGAAGCATGTTATCCAATGCCGGATTGCCGAAATCATTCTGGGGAGAAGCCGTCAAAACCGCTATTGACTTGATCAACCTCTCACCATCACGGCCACTTGAAGGAGAAATTCCAGAAGAAGTCTGGACAAGTCGGAAAGCGGCCTATAATCAATTGAAGGTGTTTGGATGCCGAGCTTTCGTGCATATCCCTAAAGATGAAAGGGCAAAACTCGATACGAAGACAAAAGAATGCATCTATCTTGGTTCGCCGAGATGTGAGTTCGGGTTCCGACTTTGGGATCCAATCAATAAGAAGATCGTGAGAAGCCGAGATGTGATCTTTCATGAGCATGAGAACATTCATGACATCTCGAAGCCCAAAGTCCGGGTTACTGTCAGACGTGAAGAATCCATCCCTCCTGTCCGAGCTGAAGCAAGGGGAGAAAATGAAGAAAATGATGATCAACAACAAGCTGAAGATGACCAAGACATTGAGGTCCGAGTTGATGATGAGATCCGGGATGAGAATGATGAACCGGGTTCTCAAGCTGAAGAACAGCCGAGATATCCAACTCGAGAAAGAAGACCCTCTACAAGATACCCGTCTGATGAATACACCATTGTTGCTGAAGACGGTGAGCCTCAGAGTTATGATGAGGCTGTGATGAGCTCAGAGAAAGAAGAATGGAAAAAGGCAATGCAAGACGAGATGAAGTCTCTACACGAGAATCAGACTTATGAGCTGACTGAGTTGCCAAAAGGAAGACGATCTCTGAAGAATAAATGGGTCTACAAGATTAAGAATGAAGAGAACGGGCAAAAGTCGAGATAAAGCCCAGATTGTAGTGAAAGGCTGCAATCAGAAGAAAGGAGTTGATTTTGAGGAGATTTTTTCTCCTGTGGTGAAAATGACCTCGGTCCGAACCGTGTTAGCCATGGCGGCTTCGATGGACCTCGAGGTAGAACAAATGGACGTGAAGACGGCATTTCTTCACGATGATTTAGAAGAAGAAATATATATGGAGCAACCTGAAGGATTCCAAGCTCCAGACCAAGAAGACTTGGTATGTCGGTTGAAGAAGAGCCTCTATGGCTTGAAGCAAGCTCCTCGGCAATGGTACAAGAAATTTGAATCATTCATGATTGATCATAAGTTTGAGAAGACTGAAGCCGACCACTGCGTATTTGTGAAGAGGTATGAGGCTGGAGTTTTTTGATCTTGTTGTTATATGTTGACGACATGCTTATTGTAGGGAAAGACAAATCGAGGATAGCCGCCCTGAAAAAGGCGTTGAGCTCGTCCTTCGCAATGAAGGACCTCGGCCCTGCAAAGCAGATTCTCGGAATCAAGATCATCCGAGATAGACAGAAGAAGCTACTGTGGCTGAGTCAAGAGAAATATATTGAGAAGATTTTGAAGAGATTTAGCATGGACAAAGCCAAAACAGTGAGCACCCCCCTAGCCGGACACATAAAGCTGAACCAGAAGAAATGTCTGAGATCTGATGAAGACAAAGATGAGATGATGAAGGTCCCTTACCAATCCGTCGTCGGAAGCTTGATGTATGCAATGGTTTGCACTAGACCCGACTTGGCGTATGCTGTTGGAATGGTAAGCCGGTATTTGTCAAACCCTGGCAAAGAGCACTGGGAAGCAGTGAAGTGGATCTTCAAGTACCTCCGAGGTACGACCGACTTATGTCTCCGATTTGGAGAAGGCAAAGCCGAGTTGAAAGGCTACTCGGATTCTGATTTAGGGGGAGACGCCGACTCGAGGAAGTCGACTACAGGATATTTGACGAGATTTGCCGGAGGAGCTGTCTCTTGGCAATCAAGACTTCAGAAATGTGTTGCACTATCGACAACTGAGGCTGAGTACATTGCCGCTACTGAGGCAAGCAAAGAGATGCTGTGGATGAAGAAGTTTCTCATGGAACTCGACCATGATCAAGACAAGTACGAGCTGGGTTGTGACAATCAAAGCGCAATCCATCTTGCGAAGAATTCGACCTATCACTCCCGCACTAAGCATATTGATGTGAGGTCTCACTGGATCCGGGATGTGGTGGAAGGTGGAGAGCTCGAACTCGTCAAAGTGCACACTGACCAAAATTGGTCCGACATGATGACGAAGCCGGTTCCAGCAAGAAAATTTGAAGACTGCTGTGAAGGAGCCGGGTTGATGCTGAAGCCGACGCATTGAAGTCGGAGGGGGAGATTTGTTGGGCTTCCTCCTTCAATGCTAAGCCCAAACCCATTTGAGGGGTTTCCTAAAAACCCTAACCCTAATTTCCACCTCCTCTATATATACTCATTAGTTGTGGGTGGAGGCTAGGTCAGTTTTGAGAGAACATATTTTAGAGAAAAATTATTTGATTGTTTGAGTAAAGCTTTATGCTTTGCATTTGAGAGATCTCTAGAGAGAGTTTGTGTGAAACATCTCTAGGGTAGTTTGATTATCACCATTGTTGGAGAGGTTGAGTTAACCACCACATTGGTGTATTTGATTCGTTGTAACCATTATTTTCATAGTGGATTTTTGATTTGAACTAGGTCCCGTGGGTTTTTTACTTCTTCATTGGAGAAGGTTTTCCCACGTTAAAACTGATTGTGTTCTTCTTCTCTCTCTCTCTCTCTCTCCTGTTTTGATTTTTCGTTTTTGATTGTTCCGCTGCGCTGCCCGACCTAGTGAAATTCAGGCCGAGGTATTGCCGAGATCTGAGATTGAGGATCTCATTGACTGACTTCCGCAAAGGCACCTGAGCCGAGCTTGAGGGAACCGAGTTCCCAACATTTTTTGGATTAACAACTTACTTATATTTTGTGTTTGCATGTCAATGACTCTAATAGATGAATTTTGCCAACTTATGATCCAATGGTATCTTTAACTTGTGCTCATTGATGTGTTGGTGTTCACTTACTTAAGGTTTTAAACGAGGATCTACGGCTAGTGGTTGGGCAGCAAGAGCGGATGAACAGAAGAGAAAATGTGTGGAATTTCCCGGTATCCTATGACAAGCTTGGAGTGAGGTACAGGCTGTGGAGAGATGCGTTGGAGGGAGGAGCTAAGCAACTACCCTTTCAGCAAACTGAACCGTAACGCTACTTTGATTAAACACTGCTTTTTATCCCACTCAGTAACGCTTCTTAGATCCAATAAGAGCATTTTTTTTTCTTAACTCAGGGCTCTTGGACCACCTTGCTGCTACGAGGCCATCCGGGAACTTTTATATAGTGATCTGAGACTGTCCATTCCTAAAATGATAGGATTCTACTCTTTTTTATCTTCAACTTTCTGTGTACAGTATCAAAGTCATTTTTCCCCCGTGATGTCTTCACCGTTTCAGCTGGTGCCTTAACCTCCCTCTTGATTAAAGGGGTTTCTTTATTGACACAATGCAATGTTACTTCAGAATTCCTGACTAGTTTGGGTTGCAATATCACTTGCTTTCTTTTTTTCCTGAATTATGTTAATACTGAATGAGCCATTATAGAACTTACAATCGTTGTGGCTTTTCATTGACATTACCAAACGGTCCACAGTCCAAAACAATTTTCCACATCCTAAATTCAACTTACATTTGGTAATATATATAACACCCCTGAACCCCTAATTAAGACCCAAATTCTATAATTCATTCAAATATAAGCTCCCAAACTATTTTCTATTTCAATAAGAAAATAAAAAATACATTATCATTATATAACAAAACAAGGTACAAAACCCCCCAAAATAATCACATAACGATCACATTTTATTTTATTTATTTAAAAACCCCTCCGAAACAAACATATACATTTATTTTTAACGACACCAATCAAAACCCCCTCAACAAGAAAATTCTCTATAGTTCCGAGCCGCAGAAAGGGCAGAATCTGAAGTCGGACTCCACCACCCGGTCGCAGAAGCGGCAGCGCAGGGCATCAGAGACCGCCGGCGGCAGAGGCGTTCCGGCGTCAGCGTTGGGCGGCAGGGAGTAAGACCGAGGAAACAAAAACTTACAATTGTCGCAATACAAGAGAGGCTCTTTACCGGGCCAACGCCATACGGGAACGAAGAAGAGCTTGAGAACCTTGTCGTACTCCACCATATCAGCGCGCGAACCACAGTTGATGCACCTGCCCACACCTGATTTCACCACCTGCCGCACCTGTTGCTCTAACCCTCCCACAAAGAAGAAGAACATGACTCGTGTTTTCACTGCTATTCTTTTCTTTTCTTTCTCTACAGTGATGCTGTTAAGGTTGATACTTTTTTTTTTGAAATAGGTTAAGGTTGATACTTTAAGCTCAGCAGAAGCTTCACTTTCTCTGGAGCTTTCTTGCGATTTCTGCGGTGTGGGCTTCTATGATATGGGCCTCTTGCCCTTTATCTTTCTAGGTCTTATTGGCTGTAACTTCGTCCAATTCTCTTCTTGTTTAGAGATAGGTTATTGGTATTATTATTATTATTATCAATTAATGTTACAATTCATGTCATTATCAATTTATTTAATCGTTAGATTGATTATGCTGATCAAACATTTCTGATTTAATTTTTAAAAAATATTTTTTCTACTTTTTATATTTAATACTTTATATTTATTTTCACTTTTGTATGATTATGATATCTCATATTTAATGTGAAAATATTAAACATGAGGAATCATTATCATATAAAGGTAGAAATAAATATAAGCGTTGAATTAACATAATCAATCTAACGGTGAAATAATTTGGTAGTAATATTGATAGTAACACTAATTGATAGTATTAATATCCTATCTCTTATGTTTATTATTTTTTGTAAATAATTATGTTTATTTTACCTTGGGAAAAGTAGTACAGTTATCTTTTATTTGAGAGCTTGCTAAGTATTATTTTATCTTGGGTTTAAATATTTTTATTCAAAAATTGTTTTGAATTAAGATAATGAAAATAAAAGAGATAATTGCTGAGAGAGTTTTGATAAAAATGTAGATAAAATGTTTTTGAGATAGAAGAGGTTCATAATTTTGAGTTTTCACAACTCAAAAGCATTGTCTTGTAAATTGTATGAGATATCACTATTTTTGGTATTAGATTCGATCGTACGACAAAGATTTTGTGGGGATATAATGTAATTTTTGCTTTCCCTAAATATCATCTAAATTACTGTATTTAACCACATACCGCATTTATTGCTCTAACTCTCTCCAAAGATATAGGCTATAATTTCATGGATTTAGTGTATAAATTATTTAAGATTTGTTTCTTAAAAACACAAGATCGTCTGTAAATCATTTAAACAACGAAACATATTTATGTGAAGATAAAATAAAATTTTAAGAGATCATTTATAATAAAAATTTAAAAGATTTCTTTAACTATATATTATGCTTGGTCCAGTGAACTTTCTTAATATCTCCGCAAGAAAGATAAGCAAATTGTCATTAATTAGTTACTTCTTCTTCTTTTTTTGCTTATCGATCTCACTAAGAGTTGAATTATCTTATTTTAAATCTTCCTAAATCGATCTGAATCTTGAAGATTTTGCTATATAAAAGCAGCACAGTACCAAGCAAACAATGTTCACAATTTATTTCTTGTTTAGAGACGTAAGTGTTAAAGCGCTTAGTTTTTACATCTTCGATTTATGGAGTCCTCTAATCACTTCCATATTGTTGAATCCTTTCAACATTTTATTCCACAAAACTTTCCTTTAGGCCAATACTTCTATATTAATTTTTACTGCGGAAACGCAATTTATCCCTCATCAAACCATGAAATACCCACCACAACCTCATTCCACGAGTCCTATTTGATTCCATGGAGCATCTTATGCGATTGCGATGATTTCAAAATCATGGACCCTCAAAGTCGTACTATGGAGTATTTGCATGACACTTTTTCCTCTGTTCCTATATCTTCCGAGTCCCTGGACTCAATTCTACCTGCTGTAGGTCGACGCGCAAGACATATGATCATCGGCAACATTGAAGGACGTGACATATTGCAAATGGATGTGATAGTTTGCATTGCCACTGGCCTTAGTGAGGAATATGACGAACATAATATTGATCACCAGAGCGTGTCTATATCAACCCTTGTGAATTCCTTGGAAAAAGTCACAATCAATCACGATGCTTCTTCTAATTTGGATGAGACATGTTCTATTTGTTTGGAGGAGTTGGGCGATGGATCAAATTCAAAGCTTGTCCGCACCAAATGCTCGCATGTTTTTCATGAAGATTGTCTTACCCAATGGCTTCGGTATTGTAACGCTCATCAATCCTACTCTCGTCCCTTGTGTCGGTGTCAAGTTACATATGTTGATTAAGTTTTCAAATTGTAGAGCAACTTTATTGTAAATTATGATAATCTTGATATTTTTCTTTAGTAATTGATTTTAAGAAAAAATCTATAAAATCCATACTTTGAGTATTTCTTCAAAGAGTGAGTGGGTGAGCACTCAAGAAAAAGGTTTGTAGTCTTTCAAAAGAAAAAGTCTTTTGAGCATTCAAGAGAAAAAGTGCATTGAGTATATTATGTGTATTTCTTCTTAAGACGCACGATGAGTCTCTAATTAACTATGTATTAAGGGTAAATATGAGCATTAAATTGATTTAAAAGTAATTAAAAGTTATGAGAATTATAATTAAATTGTCACTTTATTCTCAATTATATTCTCATAAAGTTTTTTATATTTTGCAGTAAATTTCATCTCAATAAAAAAATAAATTTGAGAGATCAAGTAAAGTTGCTTTGAATTTCTGAATCATTGAACATCTCTCAAAAAGTTCCCTAATTCGCTCCTTTTTGATTAATTCATGATCAAAAGAGAATAAAAAAGGATTAAACTTATAAATCAAATACAATTTAAATGTGATAAAATTTGTTTTATTTTCTAGCCAGTTTCAAATGAGATAAGTTGGTTGGTTGTTCAATTCTCTCAAAAAGTAAGTTGGTTATATGTTCAATTCCCATTTGTATATAAAAAAAAACTCTCAAAAAGTTTCCTGATTCTAATTCATGATCATAAGAGCATAAAAAAGGATTAAACTTCTAAATCAAATCAATTTTTGTTTCTGCTAATTCATTTCATGTCGGTTAAAAAAAATGAAAGTGAAAAAAAGATAAAAATAAAGAAGTGGGAAACAAAAAATATCATAAAATTGTAAAAAAGAGTTTGGTTATATTTAATTTAAAGATATTCAAGTAAAGGATAGAAACATGCTCCCAATTGTCCTTCATGAGAGTGTTTTGAGTTTTATATTCTATCATCTCAGTAGTTTGATTTGTATATTGATATCTCAAAATGATTATTTCCGTTCAACCATAATATTATAATTTATTTATTTTTGGTAAACATATTATAATTTTAAATTGTTGAGTTTGATCCACATTATTATTTTGATAAGTAATGGTACATAGTTTCTTATTAGTATTAGTGAAAACTATGTATGTATTACGTTAGGAAAATACTAGCTGTTTTTGGGAGCCATTGCTTCTTATTAAGTATATCTTTATGGGTTTAAATATTTTTATATTAAAAAGTTGTTCGCGTTAAGATAACGAAAATAAAAGAGATAATTGTGGGGAGAGTTTTGAATCTTTGATAAAAATCAAGAGATATAAAATAATTATAAAGTGGATTCTCTCATATATAATTTATGTGAGGACCATAATTATTAATGACTAAATCAATATCGTAGATTTTTTATTTTTTATCTTTCATCACCATTTATTTGACCATAAACGATAAAAATCCTCTTATATAATATAATCATGTTAAATAATTTATCGATCTATTCCCAAATAATTATCAAATAAAAGAGATTGAGAATTCACCACCTCCCGCACCTGTTGCTCTAACCATCCTATAAAAGAGAAGAGCATGGCTCTTGCCTCTATATTCTCGTGTCTCAGTTCATTGTTTAGAGTTTTTTTTTTTTTTCACCTTTCTTAATTGTCAAAGGGCCGTTAATATTGTAGCATTACTCATTCATGGATTCAACTCTTCGGTTCCGAGTTGATGAATCTCCCCAATATTCTATCCCAGAAGATAGTCCTTTATGCCAATGCTTTTACATTAAATTTCACTACACATTCATACATTATTCCTCCTCAACAATTGTATCGTCCTCAGCCGACGAATCCTATTTTCTTCCTTGGAACATTATATATGATTGTGACGCATTTGAATCCTTAGACCCTAACAGCATTACTGCGGCCTATTTGCGTCACACTTTTGCCACTGTTCCTATTTCTCCTCAGTAGTTTGACTTAATTTTATCTGCTATAGGTGAAAAGGCTAGGTATATGATGTCAGACGGGTCTAGGGGAAGCCTGTGGCGGGGGGCCACCACCAATGAGCTAAGTTACTCTAAGTACACCAAGTGAATCCGACACCACATCTCAACCCAAAACCTTAAGACATTGGTTTTATGGGTCCTTCCACTTATATACTCTTCACTTAGCCCATTATCAACTAATGTGGGACTCATCACACTTGAATATCCCAACAATCTCCCCCTCAAGTGTGAAACCCAATCTTGATATGCTCCCCCTCCACCGATGAGGTAAGTTACTCCAAGTACACCAAGTGAGTCCGACACCACATCTCAACCTAAAACCTTAAGGCATTGGTTTTATAGGTCCTTCCACTTATATACTCTTCACTTAGCCCATTATCAACCAATGTGGGACTCATCACACTTGAATATCCCAACAATCTCCCCCTCAAGTGTGAAACTCAATCTTGATATGCTCTCCCTCAACCGAGTACCCTAGAGGCCTAAGTACTCAACCCGCCTCTAGCCAAACACATGGCTAGCTCGAGCACAACCCGGCTCTGATACCACTGTCAGGCGGGTCCAGGGGGAAGCCCGTGGCGGGGGACCACCACCAATAGGCTAAGGCTACACCAACCGTAGCAAGTGAATCCGACACCATATTTCAACCCAAAACCTTAAGGCATTGGGTTCATGGGTCCCTTCCACTTATATACTCTTCACTTAGCCCATAACCAATCAATGTGGGACTCATCACACTTGAATATCCCAACATATGATCGACCACAACCACGAAGGACGTCACATATTGGAGATGGATGTGATGATTGGCCTTGTAGATATTGATCACCATCAAGTGTTTATAGAAACCATTGTGAATTCGTTGGAAAAAGTTGAAATCAATCAAGATGCTGCTTCTAATTTGGATGATAAATGTGCAATTTGTTTTGAAGAGTTGTGTGGTGGATCAGAGTCAAAGCTTGTTCGCACCAAATGCTTGCATATTTTTCATGAAGATTGTA